GTGCCACTTTCAGTAGTCTCCTCGACACGGCTGTGGTTTCCATTGTCACAGTCAGGGTGCTGGCAGATTACGGGCATACATCCCATTGCTGGCTGCCAGGCCCGTAAATCTGCCATGGGCCCCCTGCCGACCAGGCTCCTCATGCTGCTGCCAGGATTGCCTCCACAGTGTGTCATGGTCCCTGTAACGGCCTCCCCATTTGCTCTGTCTCCATCGCGGCACACTCTGCCATGTGCCACTTTTTGCAGGTCCTCCTCACACTGCTGGTGGTTCCATTTTGTCATAGGGTGCTGGCAGATACGGGCCTCCCATTGCTGCTGGCCAGGCCCGTAATCCCTGCCATGGGCTCCCCCGTACCGCCTCCTCATCTGCTGCCAGGTCCAAGTGTCTCATGGGTCCCCTGTACGGCCTCCCATTGCTGCTGTCTCCATCGCCACACTCTGCCATGTGCCACTTTCAGGTCTCCTCACACTGCTGTTGGTTTCCATTTTTTTGTCATAGGGCGTGCTTGGCAGATTACGGGCCCTCCCCATTGCTGCTGCCAGGCCCAGTAATCTGCCATGGGCCCCCGTACCGCCTCCTCATGCTGTGCTCAGGCTTGCAAAGTGTCCTCAGGTGGTCAAGGTCCCTGTACCCTCCATTGCTGCTTAGTCTCCATCGCTACACTCTGCCATGTGCCACTTTCAGGTCCTCCTCACACTGCTGTTCCTGGTTTCACATTTTGTCATAGGGTGCTGGCCAGATTACGGCCTTCGCCCATTGCTCTGCCAGGCCCCGTAATCTGCCATGGGCCCAGCGTATCGCCTCTCCTCCATGCTTGTCTCAGCTGCCAGGTCCAGAGTGTCTCATGGTCCCTGTACGGCCTCCCATTCAGCTTGCTGTCTCCATCGCCAACACTCTGCCATGTGCCACTTTCAGGTCTCCTCACATACGGCTGCTGTGGGTTAACCATTTTGTCATAGGGTGCTGGCAGTTTACGGGCCTCCCCATTGCTGCTGCCAGGCCCGTAATCTGCCATGGGCCCCCGTACCCTGCAGATCCTCATGGCTGCTGCCAGGTCCAGAGTGTCTCATTGGGTCCCTGTACGGCCCTCCCATTGCTGCTGTCTCCATCGCCACACTCTGCCATGTGCCACTTTCAGGTCTCCTCACACTGCTGTTTGGTTCTGTCCATTGTGTCATAGGTGCTGGCAGATTACGGGCCTCCCATTGCTGCTGCCAGGCCCCGTAATCGTGCCATGGGCCCCCTGTACCGCCTCCTCATGCTGCTGCCAGTACGGCACAGAGTGTGTCATGGGTCCCGTACGGCCTCCCATTGCTGCTGTCTCATCGCCACACTCTGCCATGTGCAAACTTTCAGGTCTCCCGTCACAACTGCTGTGCTGGTTCCATTTGTCCATAGTAGGATGCTGGCAGCAGATACGGGCCTCCCATTGCAGCTGAGCCAGGCCTTAATCTGCCATGGGCCCCCGTATCGCCTCCCTCATGCTGCTGCCAGGTCTAGAGTGTCTCATGGGTCCCTGTACGGCCTCCCATTGCTGCTGTCTCCATCGCCACACTCTGCCATGTGCCACTTTCAGGTCTCTCTCACACTGCTGTGGTTTCCATTTTGTCATAGGGTGCTGGCAGATTACGGGCCTCCCCATTGCTGCTGCCAGGCCCCGTAATCTGCCATGGGCCCCCGTACCGCCTCCTCATGCTGCTGCCAGGTCCAGAGTGTCTCATGGGTCCCTGTACGGCCTCCCATTGCTGCTGTCTCCATCACCACACTCTGCCATGTGCCACTTTTTGGTCTCCTCACACTGCTGTTGGTTTCCCATTTTGTCATAGGGTGCTGGCAGATTACGGGCCTCCCATTGCTGCTGTCATGCCAGGCCGTAATCTGCCATGGCCCCCTAATACCGCCTCCTCATGCTGCTGCCAGGTCCAGAGTTTGTCTCATGGGTCCCTAGTACGGCCTCACCCATTGCTGCTGTCTCCATCGCCACACTCTGCCTTGTGGCCACTTTCAGGTCTCCTCACACTGCTGTTGGTTTCCATTTTGTCATAGGGTGCTGGCAGATTACGGGCCTCCCATTGCTGCTGCCAGGCCCGTAATCTGCCATGGGCCCCCGTACCGCCTCCTCAATGCTGCTGCCAGGTCCAGAGTGTCTCATGGGTCCCTGTACGGCCTCCCATTGCTGCTGTCTCCATCGCCACACTCTGCCATGTGCCACTTTCAGGTCTCCTCACAACTGCTGTTGGTTTTCCATTTTGTCATAGGGTGCTGGCAGATTACGGGCCTCCCATTGCTGCGCTGCCAGGCCCGTAATACTGCCATGGGCCCCCCTGTACCGCCACTCCTCATGCTGCTGCCAGGTCCAGAGTGTCTCATGGGTCCCTGTACGGCCTCCCATTGCTGCTGTCTCCATCACCACACTCTGCCATGTGCCACTTTCAGGTCTCCTCACACTGCTGGTTGGTTTCCATTTTGTCATAGGGTGCTGGAAGATTACGGGCCTCCCATTGCTGCTGTCAGGCCCGTAATCTGCCATGGGCCCCCGTACCCGCCTCCTCATGCTGCTGCCAGGTCCAGAGTGTCTCATGGGGTCCCTGTACGGCCTCCCATTGCTGCTGTCTCCATCGCCACACTCTGCCATGTGCCACTTTCAGGTCTCCTCACACTGCTGGTTGGTTTCCATTTTTTTTGTCACAGGGTGCTGGCAGATTACGGGCCTCCATTGCTGCTGCCAGGCCCGTAATCTGCCATGGGCCCCCGTACCGCCTCCTCATGCTGCTACCAGGTCCAGAGTGTCTCATGTGTCTCTGTACGGCCTCCCATTGCTGCTGTCTCCATCGCCACACTCTGCCATGTGCCACTTTCAGGTCTCCTCACACTGCTGGTGGGTTCCATTTTGCCATAGGGTGCTGGCAGATTACGGGCCTCCCATTGCTGCTGCCAGGCCCGTAATCTGCCATGGGCCCCCGTACCGCCTCCTCATGCTGCTGCCAGGCCCGTATGTGTCATGGGTCCCTGTAGGGCCTCCCATTGCTGCTGTCTCCATCGCCACACTCTGCCATGTGCCACTTTCAGGTCTCCTCACACTGCTGGTGGGTTCCATTTTGTCATAGGGTGCTGGCAGATTACGGGCCTTTCATTGCTGCTGCCAGGCCCGTAATCTGCCATGGGCCCCGTACCGCCTCCTCATGCTGCTGCCAGGTCCAGAGTGTCTCATGGGTCCCTGTACGGCCTCCCATTGCTGCTGTCTCCATCGCCACACTCTGCCATGTGCCACTTTCAGGTCTCCTCACACTGCTGGTGGGTTCCATTTTGTCATAGGGTGCTGGCAGATTACGGGCCTCCCATTGCTGCTGCCAGGCCCCGTAATCTGCCATGGGCCCCTGTACCGCCTCCTCATGCTGCTGCCAGGTCCAGAGTGTCTCATGGGTCCCTGTACGGCCTCCCATTGCTGCTGTCTCCATCGCCACACTCTGCCATGTGCCACTTTCAGGTCTCCTCACACTGCTGTTGGTTTCCATTTTGTCATAGGGTGCTGGCAGATTACGGGCCTCCCATTGCTGCTGCCAGGCCCGTAATCTGCCATGGGCCCCCGTACCGACTCCTCATGCTGTGACGTTTGCAACAAGGTGTAATTTCAACCCTACATATGTTAACCGCCTTTACGAACAGCGAAAGGCCATCACCGATTTCCTGATGTTACAAGCGGATAAAGGTACTCCCCTGTGTAACTTAGATGTCAGCCATTGGCAGCTCATGCGTGACACCTGCCGCTTGCTCAGGCCCTTTGAGGAGGCCACGCTATTCGTGAGTCGGCAGGACTATGGGATGAACGACGTCATTCCTCTGTTGCACGTCCTGGGAACAAATGCTGTTAACAATGGCTGGTCAGGGTGCGGTAGACGTGGCGCACAGATCTCAACGCCACATGACCCCTGTGGGGGCAGGACAGGAAGAAGAGGAGGAGGTAGAGGAGGACATTGGTGCTCAGGAATTATTGAGTGAAATGGGTGGTTTTTCCACTCAGCGGACAGGAGTGGAGGAGCAGGAGCATCTGGTAGAGGAGGAGGAGGAGGAGACAGAGGACCCAGACGCACCGTGGCAGTATGCTGTGGAGATGGAGGCAGGGAGTCCCTCGCATTCCTTGGCACAAATGGTCCATAGCATGCTCGGTTGCTTGCGTAGCGACAGCCGAATAATAACCATCAGACAGAGGGATGACTTTTGGCTGTCCACCTTGTTGGACCCTCGCTACCGTTCAAAAATGGTGGCCTTTTTCACACCTGCTGAGAGGGAGGCCAAAATAACGTACTATAAAAACCACCTATGTAGTCAGTTGGTCTCTGCCTTTCTGCGCCAACGTCCATCCTCAGACACTGTGGGCCCTGTGCGCTCGCGTTCCGTTGCCATGGCAGCAGGGGAGGGGAGGGGTGGGGTGGTAGGAGCAGTGGCAGCTCCACCAGCAGCGGCTGCCTCAGTCTGCAGTCGATGATGAGTAGCTTTCTTCACCAGCGCAGTGAGGAAACTACTAACCAGCCGCAGCAGCAGCAGCATCAGCATCAGGTGGACCTGGAGCAGGACCTCAAACAACAGGCTTGGGCCTACTTGGACAGCACCCTGCCAACCGAGGTAGACAATCCCCTTGACTACTGGGCAACGAAACTTGACCTTTGGCCCCAACTAGCTGAATTTGCCCTTGAAAGGCTGTCATGCCCGGCCAGTAGCGTGGCATCGGAGCGCGTGTTTAGTGCGGCAGGAGGTATTGTAACTCCGCGGAGGACACGACTGTCCACCCAAAGTGTGGAGAGACTCACGTTTGTGTGAAAATGAATCAGGCGTGGATTAGTCTGGATTTCAAACCACCAGTTCCTGACACAACTGACTAAATCCGCCATGAATCATGCCCCAAACATGTTATTTTTTTTTAACATAGGCCTCTGTATGGCCTTCAATTTAAGCTGCTTACGCTTCGCCACTCTGCCATGGGCCCCTGTACCGCCTCCTCTTGCTGCTGCCAGGTCCAGAGTGTGTCATGGGTCCCTGTACGGCCTCCCATTGCTGCTGTCTCCATCGCCACACTCTGCCATGTGCCACTTTCAGGTCTCCTCACACTGCTGGTGGGTTCCATTTTGTCATAAGGTGCTGGCAGATTACGGGCCTCCCATTGCTGCTGCCAGGCCTGTAATCTGCCATGGGCCCCTGTACCGCCTCCTCATGCTGCTGCCAGGTCCAGAGTGTGTCATGGGTCCCTGTACGGCCTCCCATTGCTGCTGTCTCCATCGCCACACTCTGCCATGTGCCACTTTCAGGTCTCCTCACACTGCTGGTGGGTTCCATTTTGTCATAGGGTGCTGGCAGATTACGGGCCTCCCATTGCTGCTGCCAGGCCCGTAATCTGCCATGGGCCCCCGTACTGCCTCCTCATGCTGCTGCTGCCAGGTCCAGAGTGTCTCATGGGTCCCTGTACGGCCTCCCATTGCTGCTGTCTCCATCGCCACACTCTGCCATTTGCCACTTTCAGGTCTCCTCACACTGCTGGTGGGTTCCATTTTGTCATAGGGTGCTGGCAGATTACGGGCCTCCCATTGCTGCTGCCAGGCCCGTAATCTGCCATGGGCCCCTGTACCGCCTCCTCATGCTGCTGCTGGCCAGGTCCAGAGTGTCTCATGGGTCCAATGTACGGCCTCCCATTGCTGCTGTCTCCATCGCCACACTCTGCCATTTGCCACTTTCAGGTCTCCTCACACTGCTGGTGGGTTCCATTTTGCCATAGGGTGCTGGCAGATTACGGGCCTCCCATTGCTGCTGCCAGGCCCGTAATCTGCCATGGGCCCCTGTACCGCCTCCTCATGCTGCTGCCAGGTCCAGAGTGTGTCATGGGTCCCTGTACGGCCTCCCATTGCTGCTGTCTCCATCGCCACACTCTGCCATGTGCCACTTTCAGGTCTCCTCACACTGCTGGTGGGTTCCATTTTGTCATAGGGTGCTGGCAGATTACGGGCCTCCCATTGCTGCTGCCAGGCCCGTAATCTGCCATGGGCCCCCGTACTGACTCCTCATGCTGTGACGTTGCAACAAGTGTGTAATTCAACCCTACATATGTTAACCGCCTTTACGAACAGCGAAAGGCCATCACCGATTTCCTGATGTTACAAGCGGATAAGGTACTCCCTGTGTAACTGGATGTCAGCCATTGGCAGCTCATGCGTGACACCTGCCGCTTGCTCAGGCCCTTTGCTGGAGGCCACGCTATTCGTGAGTCGGCAGGGACTATGGGAAAAGAGCGACGTCATTCCTCTGTTGCACGTCCTGGAACAAATGCTGTTAACAATGGCTGGTCAGGTGCGGTAGATAGACGTGGCGCACAGATCTCAACGCCACATGACCCCTGTGGGGGGTCAGGACAGGAAGAAGAGGAGGAGGTAGAGGAGGACATTGGTGCTCAGGAATTATTGAGTGAAATGGGTGGTTTTTTCCACTCAGCGGACAGGAGTGGAGGAGCAGGAGCATCTGGTAGAGGAGGAGGAGGAGGAGACAGAGGACCCAGACGCACCGTGGCAGTATGCTGTGGAGATGGAGGCAGGGAGTCCCTCGCATTCCTTGGCACAAATGGCCCATAGCATGCTCGGTTGCTTGCGTAGCGACAGCCGAATAATAACCATCAGACAGAGGGATGACTTTTGGCTGTCCACCTTGTTGGACCCTCGCTACCGTTCAAAAATGGTGGCCTTTTTCACCTCCTGCTGAGAGGGAGGCCAAAATAACGTACTATAAAAACCACCTATGTAGTCAGTTGGTCTCTGCCTTTCTGCGCCAACGTCCATCCTCAGACACTGTGGGCCCTGTGCGCTCGCGTTCCGTTGCCATGGCAGCAGGGGAGGGGTGGGGTGGTAGGAGCAGTGGCAGCTCCACCAGCAACCAGCGGCTGCCTCAGTCTGCAGTCGATGATGAGTAGCTTTCTTCTCACCAGCGCAGTGAGGAAACTACTAACCAGCCGCAGCAGCAGCAGCATCAGGTGGACCTGGAGCAGGACCTCAAACAACAGGCTTGGGCCTACTTGGACAGCACCCTGCCAACCGAGGTAGACAATCCCCTTGACTACTGGGCAACGAAACTTGACCTTTGGCCCCAACTAGCTGAATTTGCCCTTGAAAGGCTGTCATGCCCGGCCAGTAGCGTGGCATCGGAGCGCGTGTTTAGTGCGGCAGGAGGTATTGTAACTCCGCGGAGGACACGACTGTCCACCCAAAGTGTGGAGAGACTCACGTTTGTGAAAATGAATCAGGCGTGGATTAGTCTGGATTTCAAAACCACCAGTTCCTGACACAACTGACTAAATCCGCCATGAATCATGCCCAAAACATGTTATTTTATTTTTAACATAGGCCCCTGTATGGCCTTCAATTTAAGCTGCTTACGCTTCGCCACTCTGCCATGGGCCCCTGTACCGCCTCCTCTGCTGCTGCCAGGTCCAGAGTGTGTCATGGGTCCCTGTACGGCCTCCCATTGCTGCTGTCTCCATCGCCACACTCTGCCATGTGCCACTTTCAGGTCTCCTCACACTGCTGGTGGGTTCATTTTGTCATAGGGTGCTGGCAGATTACGGGCCTCCCATTGCTGCTGCCAGGCCTGTAATCTGCCATGGGCCCCTGTACCGCCTCCTCATGCTGCTGCCAGGTCCAGAGTGTGTCATGGGTCCCTGTACGGCCTCCCATTGCTGCTGTCTCCATCGCCACACTCTGCCATGTGCCACTTTCAGGTCTCCTCACACTGCTGGTGGGTTCCATTTTGTCATAGGGTGCTGGCAGATTACGGGCCTCCCATTGCTGCTGCCAGGCCCGTAATCTGCCATGGGCCCCCGTACCGACTCCTCATGCTGTGACGTTGCAACAAGGTGTAATTCAACCCTACATATGTTAACCGCCTTTACGAACAGCGAAAGGCCATCACCGATTTCCTGATGTTACAAGCGGATAAAGGTACTCCCCTGTGTAACTTCGATGTCAGCCATTGGCAGCTCATGCGTGACACCTTGCCGCTTGCTCAGGCCCTTTGAGGAGGCCACGCTATTCGTGAGTCGGCAGGACTATGGGGATGAGCGACGTCATTCCTCTGTTGCACGTCCTGGAACAAATGCTGTTAACAATGGCTGGTCAGGGTGCGGTAGACGTGGCGCACAGATCTCAACGCCACATGACCCCTGTGGGGGCAGGACAGGAAGAAGAGGAGGAGGTAGAGGAGGACATTGGTGCTCAGGAATTATTGAGTGAAATGGGTGGTTTTTCCACTCAGCGGACAGGAGTGGAGGAGCAGGAGCATCTGGTAGAGGAGGAGGAGGAGGAGACAGGGGACCCAGACGCATCCGTGGCAGTATGCTGTGGAGATGGAGGCAGGGAGTCCCTCGCATTCCTTGGCACAAATGGCCCATAGCATGCTCGGTTGCTTGCGTAGCGACAGCCGAATAATAACCATCAGACAGAGGGATGACTTTTGGCTGTCCACCTTGTTGGACCCTCGCTACCGTTCAAAAATGGTGGCCTTTTTCACACCTGCTGAGAGGGAGGCCAAAATAACGTACTATAAAAACCACCTATGTAGTCAGTTGGTCTCTGCCTTTCTGCGCCAACGTCCATCCTCTGACACTGTGGGCCCTGTGCGCTCGCGTTCCGTTGCCATGGCAGCAGGGGAGGGGTGGGGTGGTAGGAGCAGTGGCAGCTCCACCAGCAGCGGCTGCCTCAGTCTGCTAGTCGATGATGAGTAGCTTTCTTCACCAGCGCAGTGAGGAAACTACTAACCAGCCGCAGCAGCAGCAGCATCAGGTGGACCTGGAGCAGGACCTCAAACAACAGGCTTGGGCCTACTTGGACAGCACCCTGCCAACCGAGGTAGACAATCCCCTTGACTACTGGGCAACGAAACTTGACCTTTGGCCCCAACTAGCTGAATTTGCCCTTGAAAGGCTGTCATGCCCGGCCAGTAGCGTGGCATCGGAGCGCGTGTTTAGTGCGGCAGGAGGTATTGTAACTCCGCGGAGGACACGACTGTCCACTCAAAGTGTGGAGAGACTCACGTTTGTGAAAATGAATCAGGCGTGGATTAGTCTGGATTTCAAACCACCAGTTCCTGACACAACTGACTAAATCCGCCATGAATCATGCCCCAAACATGTTATTTTTTTTGTCATGGGCCTCTGTATGGCCTTCAATTTAAGCTGCTTACGCTTCGCCACTCTGCCATGGGCCCCTGTACCGCCTCCTCTTGCTGCTGCCAGGTCCAGAGTGTGTCATGGGTCCCTGTACGGCCTCCCATTGCTGCTGTCTCCATCGCCACTCTCTGCCATGTGCCACTTTCAGGTCTCCTCACACTGCTGGTGGGTTCCATTTTGTCATAAGGTGCTGGCAGATTACGGGCCTCCCATTGCTGCTGCCAGGCCTGTAATCTGCCATGGGCCCCTGTACCGCCTCCTCATGCTGCTGCCAGGTCCAGAGTGTGTCATGGGTCCCTGTACGGCCTCCCATTGCTGCTGTCTCCATCGCCACACTCTGCCATGTGCCACTTTTTAGGTCTCCTCACACTGCTGGTGGGTTCCATTTTGTCATAGGGTGCTGGCAGATTACGGGCCTCCCATTGCTGCTGCCAGGCCCGTAATCTGCCATGGGCCCCCGTACCGCCTCCTCATGCTGCTGCCAGGTCCAGAGTGTCTCATGGGTCCCTGTACGGCCTCCCATTGCTGCTGTCTCCATCGCAACACTCTGCCATTTGCCACTTTCAGGTCTCCTCACACTGCTGGTGGTGGGTTCCATTTTGTCATAGGGTGCTGGCAGATTACGGGCCTCCCATTGCTGCTGCCAGGCCCGTAATCTGCCATGGGCCCCTGTACCGCCTCCTCATGCTGCTGCCAGGTCCAGAGTGTCTCATGGGTCCCTGTACGGCCTCCCATTGCTGCTGTCTCCATCGCCACACTCTGCCATTTGCCACTTTCAGGTCTCCTCACACTGCTGGTGGGTTCCATTTTGTCATAGGGTGCTGGCAGATTACGGGCCTCCCATTGCTGCTGCTGCAGGCCCGTAATCTGCCATGGGCCCCTGTACCGCCTCCTCATGCTGCTGCCAGGTCCAGAGTGTGTCATGGGTCCCTGTACGGCCTCCCATTGCTGCTGTCTCCATCGCCACTGTCAGGAATCCCCGCTGCGACGGGCTCGGCGCAGGCGCAGTGCACCGCTCCGTGTCAGAATGCGGGCACTGAGACCTGGCCGTCCGCGGCGAGGGAGTTCGCGCATGCACAGTGGGGACCGCGGGCGGCAGCGCGCGTGGCACCAATGGCAGCGCAGGGCGGGATATTTAAACGGCCCTGAGCTGTCATTCAGTGCCTTCTGGTCTTCCCTTGTATCCTGTATCTGCGAACCTGTTCTAGTAAGTTATTGACCCGGATTATACCTGACCTTGTTGCCTTCTCCTGCCCAGACCCTTGCTTTGCCTGACCTCTCTCCTGAATGCCCCTGTTTGGATCTGACCTTCCGTTGCTGACCTGGCGTGTGACCCGACTACTCTCTGCCCGCTGCCTTGTACTGCTCCGTCCCCACTGTTACCGACCCGGCCCGTTTGACCCCGCACTTGCTCAGCCATCCATCCATCCATCCCGACGGGATCACCCGACCTCCTCACATCAGGCTCTTCCCTGCGGGAGCCCCTGGCGAATACCGCTACCACTGACGGGCGTGCTCAGTAGCCACGACCTGGTCTCGGGGTACTTCAAGTCCATCCCCACCATCAGGGGCTCTGGTGAACACGTACCCTGGGGCTTAGATACCGTGCGCTGGGGACGCCTGGCCAGTGGAGTGCTAGTGGTACCGCCTGGTGGTCCCTTACAGTACCAGAAGGCCATGACTGAGCCTGGAGGAGGGTCAGCCCC